GGGCGGTCAGCAGAGGGAGCCCGGCGCCCGGGAACGGAGCCCGGCGCCCCGCCCGCTCCTCCCAGCAGGGATGCGCTGGGCACCAGTGTCCCCGCCTGGGACAGGGGAGCAGCGCAGGTGACCTTCTGCAGCCCTCCTAGCCCCTTTCTAATGGGCCATCAGCATCAACATCATCAGAAAAAACTGGAGCATCCGCCTCCCGGTTTTAGCAGTGGATTAAGGGTACATCCCAAAACAGAAGATGACACGAGGATGCTTTGACAGGGCAGGGCCCAGGCAGCTGATGGCATTATCATGGGTGACACCACAAAAGCACCCTCCCAAGGAAAGGCAGGACATTCTTTGGGAAAAGGCCAGAAGCGTCACAGCCAGCCCTTGCCACAATACCCACATTTCAGTTCACTCCCAATTAATTGAGCAATTTTAGCTCAGAAAGGGAAGCACCGTATAACAGGGCACCACCACTTTTCTCACATCACTGTAAAACTTCTACTCCACAAGCTGAGTACTGTGTCCAACTACAAGTACTGAAGCTGTTGCTTGGGGCCAGCCTCAGGTAGGTTAGGACATCCCTCCAGGCTCAGAAGAGGCTCAGTTTTGCTCTTATTTGTCCTGATTGAGACTCTGCCAAAACCCGCCTTCCCCTAGAGATCCAAGCGGCTGACCTTATTGAAACTCTTGCCCCTCACTGCCTCGTGGGCGTCAAACACAAAGAGTTGCCCTGAAGCACCATCTCATCACTGGAGCTTGAAAATAAGCCACTCTTTACATGGTGCCTGCCTTTCTAAATAGATAAGACTTTATGCCTCCCTTGTTCTCTCTTTATGTATTGTGGTAACCTTTATATTTCACACACTTTTAATCAGCCTTCCCAAGCATTTTTAGAGCAGCTTTATAAGACATCAAGACCAGCCACAATTATTGCAGTTACTCACATGAGAAGCTCCCATGAGAACCACACCACATATTTCAGGGGAAAAAAATACACCAGAACACCAAGCAAACCCCCAAACTCATGCCACAGAGCAAGAGCCTCACCTTCTCTTAGGTCTGGAAACAGTAAAAAGATCCAAATGCTTCCCCTTAACTCCTATTTAAGTCCTTCAGCTGCAATGGGCATGGGGGAATTGTTGGCTAATTCCCAGCATCTGGGAGCCATTTTACCCCAGAGCAGACTCAGCTGTTCTCTAATCCTTAAAGGACCCACTGAACACTGATACCTTCCTGCTGTTGTCTCCAGATTTCACCATCTACATGTTACCAGTTTCCTGCAATACTCCTACAGTTCTCCTACCTACTCCCTGAACAGCCCTTCCCCATGTCCCCATAGCTCAGCTTTCCCCCATGTTCAGTTTTGGGTGCCCCTCCAAAACAATAAAGGCATTTTAAAAAACTGGAGAAAGTTTAGGGAAGAGCCACCAAGAGAGCTGGGGGCTGGAACATTCGTCCCCTGAGAAGAAGCAAAGGGTGATGGGCTTGTTTGGCCTGATGAGAAGAAGGCTTCAGTGGGACATGAGAGCAGCCTGCCAGTTAACAAGAAGGTTCCTGTGCAGATGAAGTCAGGCTTCTCCCAGTAGTGGAAGGCTTGGAGATGAGGCAGCTGAAAGAGACTGAAACTGGATATAAGGAAAAATTTCTTTACTATGATGATGACTAGTCAAACCCTGGGCAAGGTAGCTCAGGGAGATTATACATTCTCCGCCCTTTGGAAAGTTTCAATCCTAGACTGGATAAAGCCCTGAGCAACCTGATAAGACCTCAGAACTGACCCTGCTGTGAGCAGGAGGTTGGACCAAAGTCCTTTCCAACCTGATCCCTCCTGCCTTCTCTTAGGGAAAAGAGGGTGAACTGGAATGGTAACCAAGTCCAGAGCTTCCTCCCCAGCTGGGCTGTGGGAATGCTGCAGTCAGCACCACCACCCTAGGATCATCCCATGGCAGCTAGAAAAGCCTTGTCAAACACTGTGAATATCAAGGGGAAAAAACTAGGACAAAGGATTCAACCGAGTTGCAACAGTGACACGTGCCTGTGCTGGGGAGGAGGAGGAAGCAGTGGAGCACATGAGCTAAATGGGCCAAGAGCCTGGACACGATAATATATCAGCTGCATCACAAGCAGAATGAAGCTGCAAGATGGAAGTACATCCTTCCCCTCTGCCATGTCCACAGCCCAGTCACAGAAGGGTTCTCAGCTGTGAGCAAGAGCTTCCTTTCAGTAAGAGCAACCATGCACTAATTTAATTCTTCCATTATTTTAAGTGCTGAGGGGGACTGAGTGAGATGCAGGGAGCACAGGGCACTCATCCTGCTGCAAGGGGCAGGTCTTGGCAGCTCCCACTCGAGCCTCTGCCCTTTTCTCCCCATGGAAAGAAAAAGCTGTGAAGATGCTCATGTTATCTAACAGAAGAGACATCTCAAATGTATCATGACTCACTCACCTTTCAAAGCTGTCAAAAATCCCCCAAAACCAACACATCTTAAAAGGTGGAGGAAGGAAATCAAAGGAAAAGTAGTAGCTGAAGGTTTGGTTTCTGGTTTGGTGTATGTGCAGGAATCAGCCAGACAGAGATGGGAGCTCAAGCTGGACAGGCTGTGGCCACTGCCATGCTCCTGCCCTGTCCCTGGCACCCACCCATCCATCAGCCCTGCTGGGAAGGTGAGCACAGTGCTCAGAGACCAAGAGCAAACGGTGCTGGCACCAGCACAGCCTCCCTGCCAGAGTCAAGTGCCCTCAGAGGAAGGACAGACTGTGGCAGAAAAAGCACTGCCCCTCCTGGAGACAGTTTTGGAAAGTTTTCCTGCCTTGGGGGAATCATCTCCTCAAAGGAGACACCTCCCAGTCTCCACTTGCCCAGGACAAGCGTGGGAGGTGGTAGTTGGGTCTGTAAAGGTACAGAGGTGGTTTTATTTGCTTTTTGCACTGAAAGTTTCTTTTCTCTTGTGAACTGTCCTTGTTATCTTGGCCTCCAGATTAAAAAGGATTAAATACTGAAATATACTGTGAGATCTGGGGGGTCAATGAGGGCCATCTCAAGCAGAAAGTTGTCCCATACCCCCTCTCCCATTGAAGTGTTGTTTCCCATCTTCAAAACGGAGTCTGTTTGCTCCTATGCTTTGATGATAGTTCTGGTCCAGAGCCACACAATGTCATAGGATCATTGCAGGATAACTCAGGTGGGAGAGGACACGTGGAGGTCATCCTGCTCCAAGCAAGAGGATTGATGAGGAAGGTCTTCCCACTTTCCCAACACGTCCTTCGTGTCAACTTCCCTTTGTGCAGGAGGTGCTTCTTTCTCCCCTCAATCTTATCTGTTCTGGATGTCTTGCTGTGAAGTTGACTAATGTAACATCTGACTTTCAAATCAAAAAAGTACACTCTCCAGGGCTGTATACAGCTGAGATACAGAGAGCCTTAGTCTGCTTCCAAGAAAAGATGACAAATTTTGCAAGAGTCCAGTAAATTGGGATGGGAAAAATACCAGGATGAAAGACAGCTGTTCTGAGAGAAGCACCAAACCAGCCAATGTGGAGTTTTGCCTGCACATCTCAGCCAGTGACTGGCTGCTGCCTGCACCCTGCCTGGAAAGTTGCTAAATGACAAAGGATTTGCCAGAATTGGCATCACAAATGTGAATTATCAAAGGAGAAACCAGCATTAGGTGTGCTGAGCACATTGGTAAGGCCTCTTTTTTAGGCATTGCTCCTCAGTTGAGTTCAAAGCATGGATTGAGGCATGATAAGCAAACACTAAAGCTCTGTCCAAACAAGGTCCAGAGGTTTAGATGCTCAGCATCTAGATGCCTGCAAAATCTGTTGACCCCTGAGACCCACAATAAAATATAAAGTTTCCTTTGAAAGTTGAGTGTTTAACAAAACGGAGCTGGTGTCCCATTGACCTGCTGCCAATGTTTCAACAAGGGAATGCCACAAATATTCCCCGGGTGAATTTTGCATAGTGAATGGGAAGAAAATATAGTATTCATTTTTTCATGTTAGCACAAAGAAGGATTTTCCAGCCAGTGTCAAGAAGAGAGAGGGCAGCAGTGTGAAAAGTAAAGAAAGGAATAAAGTCAATGTGCATTAAAAATTGCATATGAATAAAAATCCTCGTGCCTAGAAAATCAAGGTCTGTGGATGATTCAGGGAGAGTTTATCCTAGAGGTGGGGAGAAGAAGCCCACAGCTCTTCTCCTCCAGGGAATATTTTTTTGGTAATTATTGACATTTTATACAATCTGGTGCTCTTCTAAATATAATTTTATTAACATGAAAAGCCACTTGGCAGCAGGAAACTAATGCTGGTGAGTTCACAGTTTTCAAGACAAAGCGTTCTCTTAGAAGGAAGAAGAAAGAGACTTCTTTGGAATGAAGATCCTTGCAGCTTCTGCCTAAAACCAGCCTCCACCTGCCATCTTTTTGCAGGCTTAAATGGAGCAATATTCCCTAGCCTCAGCTTGTTTCTCTCTGGTTTCCAAAGGAGATGAGGCATATGCAGTCACGCTGTTCACCAGCTCTCCTGTCACCCTCCCACAATAACCTCTGAGAGAGGAAGGAACATGTCTATGGAGGCTGGGTAAAGAATAAAGGCACCCGCTGTCATCCACCCCCTGGGATAGGAACAGTTGGGCAGGAGCCCACAAGGAGTTGTCCTTCCTGGGTGCCCAGCAGGCACGTGCCAATGTGCCAGGCAGGACAGGGCAGAAGACCTGTGGCTGCTGGGGACAGGAACACATCCCACAGGAGCCGTGGGAGTCATCACTCCAGCACAGGGAGCGCTTTGATTCCCAGGAGTCTGGTGGAACAGCAAAGTAAAGCCACATATTAATCTCTAGCTCAGCTGCATCAAGGTGCTTTTCTGGGTATTAAGGGAAAAGAAATCCAGGCAAAGAATCATGCTGAATTTTGTTTTATTGAACAGAGGTGGCAGAGATGAGGGAAAGCTGCTCCCGTGACTGTGCACTGACAGGGGATCAGCTGTTCCTGCTGGGTGACAGGTGAGGACTCAGCATTTCCCCATGTGCTTCAGTCTGATTTTGCCTCCACTTTTCCTGTAAAAGAAGCAAGACACAGTTAGAGAAAAAAGTGTAGGACAGACAGTCCCCCTTGACAGCGTGGGACAAGAAACTCATCCCTCTGAACAAGACCATTTGCATGACCCATGTTAGTGTACCCTGGTGCCTCCCAGGGAAAAGCAAGAAATCTTCTCCTCTCCTTGCTCTCCTCCAGTTTCCCCTAGGATATGGCAGCCTTGACTGGGCACCAGTTGTTAAGGACTGCTAGTGAAAAAAATGATGTTTTGCAAGCACATGCAGTCGAGGGGTGCTGGCTTCTATTGCATCTGCTTTAAAAGGTGACAGAGCTCAGGAAAAGGAGAAGCTCAGGTTCTTCCTCTGAGATTTTGTGGCTTGCTCCACAAAGTCCATTCAGACTTTTCAGGAATAATTTGGCATGGCTCAGCTCCCACATTCCTCCAGAAACTTCTCAGTACCCAGAAGTGTGGGCAGTGAGAGTTGCAGCCTGTAACTTATAGTGGGAAATGTGCATCAATTTAGAGCATGCAGAAGGTACAGGCAAGATGCAACTGCTTCTCAGGCCCCGTGCTGCCTCTCAGCATGGCAACCAGCAGCATGCAAAGCCTGGAAATGAATTAAAATTAACTTGCATCCACACAGCTCCCTTCCAAGGAGGAAAGTTTCCACTTGGCACAATTCAGAGAATGGTCCTTACAAGGTCCATGCAGGGTCTCCCCGTGACAAAGGACATCATGACATACATGAAAATGGAGCCAGCTCTCTGTTAATTCCATCCCCTCTGCTCCCACTTACAGCACAGCCTTGCAGAAGGCACACTTGTTTCCGTACGTGACGCCGTCTGTGCCACAGTGAGGGTTGGACTCCCTCGTGCAGAACACACTTCTGTTTACAAATTCTTTACAGATCTACAAAAGGAACAATAACAAACAAACAAAACACTTTAGGATTCCCACACTCTTCCTTTCACTTTCCAAATTGGATACAAGGTCACTAATATAATGCTTTTTCTGACCAGCACACTAAAGCAGCAGTGGTGACACTGCCTATTTGGTGAAAGAAAAAGCCCTGTCAGAAGTGAGTAGAATCAACATTTCAGGGGAATTTTTGCTCTGTGTTTGAGGAGGAAAATTTTAGTCACCTGGGAGAAGCCTTGATCTCCCAAAATTATGAGCAGATTAGCCTAGGCATGTAGAAGAAGAGTCAGCACTGATGCTCTTTGGCATCAAGTTAGCTCACTGCTGCATGGCATCATGCATCTTGCAAAACTGTGTGCTCATGTTGGTGCTTGCTGAGCTCTCTGCCTTCCCACAGGAGGGATAAGCAAACCATAGTCTATGGGGAATTAACAATGGTATTCAGTAAATATACATGTATTTTTGCTCTGGACTAGTCCCAGTGATGGATCTTGTTTGAAGAGATAAAACACTCTCGATAGTCCACTTGTTTCATGAGACAACTGAACAGTGGAGCAAAGAAGACAAAAGTGGTGCTATGTATAAACACAACCCTATGCAAGCACCTTATACATAATAATGGAAAGCATTTGCATTTTGCTGGTCTGCTTGCACATACACATATATAACAACCCTTGTACAACAATGAACTCCCCAAAACTTTGGGACTGTGCCCAGCAGACATTAAAAGCAGTTTACCACACATCAAGATCTCGGTTACAAAATCATTCCTGTAGAAAATGCATATTCAGTAAGCAGAAACAGCTGCACTAACCTCTTCAATGTCTTGTCCTGCTACATCTGGGGAAAAAAAAAAAAAAAAAAAAAAAAAAAAAAAAAAAAAAAAAAAAAAAAAAAAAAAAAAGTTATTTTCATTATTTTCTGACAAAGGCTGAACTAAAGCCACAAACCCTTTACGCAAACCATGGTGAAACATACACCAGGTTTTTCCTACTCTGTCATCCTGTGCAGAGGAGGAAGGGGCAGGAAATACATTATCTGAATTGCTTTTCAGTATTTTGCTTTTTCTGAAAAATGTTACTAAAATACCATGTAATCAGTCATTCAGCTGCTAACTGCACCTCAGACACATAACCCAATCTCCTGGAAGGCAGCCACTCCCGGGAAACAAGCTGCTGTACCAGAGCTGGAGCCACGCTCAACACAGATTTTAAAGCTATATTGACTTTTAAGGCTCTTTTAGGCTCCTGTACCTCTGAGCTAGGAAAATGGCTGGTTGTGCTAACAAGGGCCTACCATGGAGAAGGAGGCCCTGTGGTCAATTATACAGCCATCCTCAGCATGGCCCAGACCAGAGACTCTTCCACAACAGTTTCAGCCCAGGCAGGATATGAAAAGACAGCTCGGGGTGATCCAGAGCAGAACAGGCAGTGCCGGTGTGTAAGAGAGCAAAAATATCTGCTGTAACCACAGGCTCTGGGCTTGCAGGCAATCAGTCCATCCTCTTTGTATTTCTTCACTGCAAAGACTGCAGTCAGCCCCATAGGCTGAGTCAGAGCTGCGGGACAGGGTGACCCTGCCATGTCTCTAAAGGGGAGTTGGACACTCAAGGGTGGATTGAATGCAGAGTTGCAGAATCGGGGTCACAACACCGTGGGACAAATAGCTGGCACCTCGCACAGCAGCTGGGCAGCAGAGGGTCAGATAAGCGGCTGTACCTGTTGGGTTTGTGGGGCCCCTGCCAACAGAGATGCTGCTCAGGTGGCTCTGAGCAGGAGGGAGCCTGGGGCAGGAGTGGGAGGACCTTGGCCTACGCTTCGGCCTCCACGAATTGGAAATCCCACCACACCCTCAGTCAGCCAGAACATCATCCATCAACCAACCTTCCACCTGCTAATTAAGCCCTTTGCTGTTTTATCCTGGTCACCCATGTATTTATCATGTCCTCAGGTTAGGCTGGGCTGCCTTAGTTGTAAAGTTATTGTTATGGTTATCTGCATATTATTTACAAAATTAGATACCTTTTATAAATATTACATGTGGCTACACAAGACTTTGATGATGTCTCTTGACATCTGTTTATTTTACAGGAGATCACAGAGTTTGCTGCTATTCTGCCTGGCCTTGGAAGGAAGCTTCAGCACTCTGACAGAACCCAGTCCCAATTAAGACTCAGTTAGAGACGGATTAATATTTAATAATGAATAATGTGTACAAAGTAATTCACCTCTTTTCTCCATGCAGAGCTTGCCATTTTCTCAAGTGAATTCTTAATTCAAATTATTCACAGAAAAACAAGCATAAATAATTCTTGCTCTGCACATTCTTCAGTAACTGTTGCCACAAACCTTGCAGAGCTGGGTCAGCTGGACACAAACAACTGATAACATTTGACATGACCTATATGTTCAAAAATGATCATTCAGCTTCCCCAGATCATCAGAGAGATGTATAAATCTCCAGATAAATAAATGCTGGATCCTTTTAATTTGCCCTCTGTTCTGAATCCTTGAGGACATTTGAATTTAATTTTCAAGCTTTTCACTGCAACATAAACGAAAGCTGAAACTTTCATCTAATTACGTTTCCACATCTCCAAGGAAAACACCAAGACCAAGACGCTTAGGATCAAAACAAGAGCTGATGACCCTGAGGTGGAGAAAGTTCCTTCTCTAACTGGTTCAGCAAAACTCTCCAGTGAATATTTGTACCAAAAATTCATAATTACACTCTGCTTTGGTACATTTGCTAAAGGAGCCACTAAGAGTTTGCTCTCTCAGTCTCTCTGTGACACCTCCGCTGCTGCGGAGGCACACAAGGAGTGGAAATATGTCATACAAGTCAGCAAGTCCTGCAGATATTTTCTACTTGCTCAGCTTTATCTTCAAGCCTGTCATCCGGTGATCAAGACTCTCCAAAGTTTCCTGTTGCCAGGAAAGATTTGGGTTTGTTGATTAGGATTTTTTTCTAGGCTAAGGAAAAGATCACTTACCTGAGAAGAAAGAGAGCAGCAGCAAGCTGAAAAGAACCAAGGCACCTGTTGTCTTCATGCTGCAGGTAGTTCTTTAGTCCAAGCCCAGCAATGTGTGCAAGAGGTGTTGTCTCAGCACCGGAGCCCACGATGCACACCCAGACCTGCCCTTCTGTGTATTTATGAGCCCATCTGTAGCTGTCCTCATTCCTCACCTTAATTGTGAGAACTTCTCCAATTCTAAAGTCATTATTGGTCCTGGCTGTGTTTATGGTGCTTTAGGAATGTTGCCCTGTTCACATCAAACCTAGAAAGGGCTAATTACATGAGTGGTAGACTCAGGTTTGTAATATCTTCTTTTTCTTTTCCTTTTTTTTTTTTTTCTAAACGGTCACAGGATTCTCACAAGGGTGACTTTTCAAAGCAGTGATTCATCGGGAAGCTGGTAATTTTCATTCTCTGGTCCCTCACTGAATGCCAGCTCTGAGGCTTTGACTGTGGCGTGATGACACTCACTAGACATTACGAAACAAATCACAGCATGAGAATGTGTTGTGTGTGAAATGAATTATATGTTGTTCCCTGGCTATTTTTGAGGATGGTTCTAAATTTGTGGGGTTGGGGTGGAGAAGTGCTCTGATGTGACGTGCTCTTGTAGCTGTGTGCACAGTCCCAGATAGGACTGCTGACTGTCCTCCCTGAACTATTTAAACTCTAGCTGTCAATGTTTTCCAGTTTTTCACATTCACAAACATGTCAGGGCTCTGCTCACACTGCAAATGGCATTGAAGGGAATTTGATGGAGAACTGGAAGACTTGAGCTCTGTCATCAGCAGGGTTTGTGCAATGACTTGTGTTCAGCTGCACTATTTGCAAAATATCCATTGAGATAAGAAAAAGCTAAAAATTTTAGTATGCTTTCCTAAGGAGACAAGGCTTAGGAGAGCAATGTGTATAGCTATCTGTTTATTAGTTCCCCCAGTAAATTTTGAATCTGTATCTAGTTCCAACCAAATTTGACAGAGAAGTGAAAAAAAATAAATTAAAAATCAAAATTTTAATACATTTTTCTTTTTAGCAACAAAGATGCTACTAACATCCCCAGCCAGCAAGGGAGAGAGTTTCTGTTATGAGAGCAATGTTATGAATACCCTACATCTGGGGAAGCATTTGAGTTTGCAGCTTGCTAGACGTACTAAAATCCACACAGCAGAGAAACCGTGACTGACAGGTGACTTGTCAGAAGCCTGATAGGGGTGAACTCCTGACACAGCCTCTCATATAATTCAGTTATCAAGTCAGTCAGCCACAGTGCCCTTCAAAATCACACTTGGCTCTGCTGCTCCTGCACTACTTGTTTGCCTTTTCTAGTTTCATACGTCACTGCTCATGACAACAGCTTTAATGGCTCAGCCTTTTATCTACCCAAATGTTTCAGTTCCTGCAACATCACTAACTGGCTACAGCCTTAGCAAATGTACTGCAGGAACCAACCCCTTCTGGGCTGAGGAGAGGAAGAGACTAAATTACCAACCTGGTCATTATCATTATTACCTGTTTCCACTTCTTTATAACATCTAAAACAGGCCACTTGCTAGCACAGGTGAGGGAATTCTTCTGTCCCTCTGACTTCTATGAAATCAGGGCTAAAAGAAAGACACTTGGACCTTATTTTCAGTCTAGGGGGTAGATGGGCAGAGTTTTGCCAAGTACTTACCAGTGCTGGGCCAGTCTTCAGTCCTGTGTGATACAAACCTTTCAATCTTCTAAAGAGCTCTTGCTTGGAGGCTCATGAGGCATCTAGGATACAACCATAAACCCAGTACTTGCCATTTTCTCTCCCTTTCTCTGTAGGTGAGCAGCTCTTCTTTGGGCTTTTCCAAAGCCTTCTGAGCTCCTAATCAAGTACCTGGCTTTCACAGGCAGAAACTTCCACTGCAGTGGAGGCTCACCCTAGGATCTTGCTGTTGGAAACAATTTCCCACTTTGATCAAAACTTCAGTAGTCTGCAACCACTCTAAACTTCTTGGCCAAAAAGAAATTATAGCAGAGCTCTGTCCTGTGCTGACAGGTCTCTATTCACATCCACTAGCTACTTAGACTGTTCCTATTTCTCACACACACACAAACAAGTAAATAATGAGAACATTCAGACTCTCCAGTTGGTCTCTTCTTAAGAGCAGGCACAAAGGCATGATGAAATTTATATTGACAGCACTCACAGAAAAAACCCTGAAAAGAAGTTCCATCCCTCTTCCTAGGACAGACCATTGCTCTGTGCCAGTAGTAGGGGAAGGACAAGCCTCTTATCTCCTGGTGGGAAGCACCTACAAATTCCTGGTCAATAAATTACCTGCTTCAGGGAAAAAGACCCAAAGAAAAGGCTTGAAAGCCACAGATTTTGTCCTAAATATCAGTCTTGGCAGCAGCTACTCATGCTACATAACAAGAGAACGGGAGGTGAAGAAAGGAAGAGGAAGGGAGTATGTGAGCTGTGGCACTTGGGACTTTTTGCCTGTGCTGTTTGCATATTAACTCCTTGACTCACCCAAAAAGATGACACTCTTTAGGCTCCCACAAAGATACTATCTCCAAACCTTTTTTCCTAAGCACCTTGGAGCTACCAGCACATCTTCTGGCCCTTCTTTCCTGGCATTCAAAATTCCAAGACCATTTCCTGAAGGGTCCCCTCTCCTACATCTGCCTACCTTGCTCAAGTATTTTCAGATCTCTTCTCCATGAAGTTGAAAGCCTCATCTCAGTCTAATTTCTCCTCAGGTTCTCATTAGACTCATTACAGCCTTGCCTAGCTTGCTGCAATTTTCTGCTGATCAGCACAAGTCCCAGTGTACACACCCTTCAAGGAAGCAACAGTTCCTAATTTTCTTCCCTGTGAGATAGCCTCCTCCCTTTGCCATAAGCCTCATCTTATAATGCACTGCCAGACCTGCCCCTTGTCCAGGTGGGACCAGGTAGGGCTGATCATGGCCTTGTTTCTCTTTCACACCTTCCCAGATGCATTCCCCTGTGCCAGGGCCCCTAAAAGAAGCAGTTCCTCCAAGACTCGGTGCTGTTACAATGACAAATCCATTTGCATGGTATAAGACACCAAAATTAGGAAAGTGGTAGTATTTCATAGCTGGTTTCCCTTCTGATGGTTTGGTATGGAGTGACGTACTCTCATGAGGGCTTGGGCTGCTGAGTGATGGTTGTTATGCTTTGCTCTTTGTTGTGGTTTATTTCACAACTTCTCCTGCCTGACAGATAAGTACCTAAAAGCCTGAAGACCATCACCTCTGCCCTGAGAAAAAAAACAAACCCAGAAAGCCAACCCCAAAAACTAGTCCATGGCAAAGAGAGTGGCTGCATTTAATTTATTGATCAATCAAAGCAGAGACCAATGTGGAACAGGTGAGGGAGCAGGGAAGAGCATGTTTGATTCAGGATTTGTAAGGGAAAAGTCAGCATGCCAGGTACTGCTCCAGGGCTCAGCACTGGCCACGGTGTCTGAGGAACAGACTTCCACGGCTGCGGCTGTGGAGAAAGAGAGAAACCAAAATTATGGACATGGATCTCAGTTTTACAGTCTAAGTTTACCCAAATAAGCCAATGCTTCATGCTCTCCAAGTTATGAAATACTTCCCTTCATGTTTCACCTCTTTCCTGATTCCCCAGATTACTTGTTTTCTTACACGAAAGAGATTTGGGACAAACCCCATAATTTAATTCTGGACACTTCCTACTGTCACAGTATAAATCACTCTGACAGGGAGGGAGTCAGTAATGCTATGAGCTTGCAAATGGGGATCTGGATTTAAATGCAAGGGAAGGAAAAGACTCACTCAGGCTTAAGATTTCCAGTGCCTAGAGGGTGACAGGAATGAGTGTCAGGAGAGGAACGTGGAGCAGGGGTGGGCTTACAAAGAGGCTAACATGAGCTCTGGGGGCTTCCAATCAGCTGACACCAGTGTGTGTGTGTTCCAGCTCCTCGGGTTTCCCAGCTGTGTGGTGGGCTCCATACTTACGAAACTGCGTTGCAAAACTGGCACTTGTTTCCATAAGTTCTGCCGTCAGAGCCACAGAACGGGTCGAATTCGGAGGTGCAGACGAGGTTGCTGAGACCCTTCTGTTGGGTGTCACCACAGTCAACCTGCTCCTAATAGTGGAACAACAACAGGTTTTAAAGCTTTTGTTCCCCATGTTTTCCTACAAGAGTGCTTTTTGTTTATTTAATGTTTATGATATGGCAAAGCATAAAAGCATTTTTCAGGGCAGAGCTCTGTTGTTCTAGTGACTGCAAACTCAAGAGCAGAAAAAATGCTTGTCTGGAGCAGCCTGAAGCAGGGAGAAAAATCTAATACTACTACAAATAGTGAAATGACCACACTGGTATTTCCAGGCTGAGCCTCCAACTGGCTGCTCTTCTCTTGTTCCTCAGGCTGGCAGAGGCATGCATACAGAAAGTGGATGGTTGCAAGCCACACTGTAGCTCCCACTCAAGGTGTCACCACCATGAATAGCCCTGGCTGTATATGAGCCCCTGCTCTCCTGCAGAAGGGATGAGGCAGCATCTCTTGCGCAGCCCCTTTCCCAGTAAATGAAGGTCTCAGCACTTGCTGACTGCCATCATCTCAGGTCAGAGAGAGGACTGCATATCTGAGTCACAGATTTGGTTCAATACCCTTTGACCCAGGCATACCTCAAATCATATTTCAAAGCCAAATACACCAGGATGCTGCAGACCTTTCTATTACTTAGTTCAGTCAATTTGTGTTGCAAAAATGTACTGCAGCAGCAGCTGAGAGTGCAGATTCCTGTGCTTTACCTGGAAGCATTCTCCATAGCTGCGCAGGTTGACCTCCAGACCGTTCCTTTGGGAAGAAAGCGGAGAATGAATGAGCACAGCAGCTTCAGGAGTCAAAGTACCTCGTTGCACTCCAAATACCAACACAAGCACCCACTGCTTCAGCAACCCCTCCCATAACCCAGCTCCTTCACTTACGCCACAGCAGTGCAGAAGTTGCACTTGTTTCTGTAGGTGATGCCGTCGGTGCCGCAGATGGGGCTGTACTCCATGGTGCAGGGAACCACTTGACCACTGCTTGGTTTCAGGAAGCCAGTACAGTCAACCTGAAACAGTGACAGAACAACTCTTTAACCTCTGCTCCCCTTTGCATCAGTCCTGTGTCATGGAGCACAGTGCAGAGACATCTCCTCTCCCCAGAGCTGCAAGGACAGAGCAGCTTCCAGACCCAGCGTGGTGGAAAAAGCACAGTTTAAATCCTGCACATGGGTACAGCACCATCTTGGAGCATCTGTTTTTTCCTGTCCTGAAGTGAGCTTCTTCCTTACTATCTTGGGAATTTTAACCATAAATGACACCATGAGGATCTTTGCCCAAAATGCCCCGTGCAGCAGCAACTTTAGCTGCAAAATGCCAGTGCTTCTTGAAAATGGAGTTTATGCTCACCTCAGTGTTTCTGCAGTTACTCCGAGTGAGCTGAAATGGAACTTACTATGTTATGTTAAATTGCACAGCCAGAGTGTTCTTTACTTTCTCTCTCTAAACTAAAAATAGAGATACTTATCCACTTCATGGTAGCTCCCTGTCTGGATAAACAAACTTTATGATAAACGTTTTGATAGAATTGTTTTATCTGTTACAAAATTACAGTTTACTCAATAGCCAAACTTCCTCTGGGAATTTCTTAGCTTCAATAAAGCCTCTAAAAAGTCTAAAGAGAAGTGCTTTGATAATGCTGAAGCAGTATTGGAACAAAAAATATCCTGTCTTAAGTCTGGTGTTATACACAAGGTAAGATTTTAAAGCTCACTGATTCTAACTGTTGAAACAAAATTTTAAAAGAATAATTCTTGTGAATCTGAAATATTTCATTTTCATTCTGACAGATTAAATCTGTGTGTGTTCAATACAGAAGTGATGCTAGGTGAGGTTTCTGTCTAGCTCTCTGCCATCTTTTCAGCCAGCGCCGCTCAGCGCGGCAGGAGAGGATCTCAGGCCATACCTTGACACATCTGCCATCGTGCTTCTTGTCAATGTTGCGGTTGCGAGTGCTAGGAGAGAGAAGGAAAAGAAGGATTAATCTGTTGATACCATGTAGTCATCTCACTCATTAAGTCTCTCCACTTGGAAAGCCCCAGTAATTAATTAGATTCAGGAGATTTGACACGGAAAACAAAGGACATTAGGGAAGACAGAAACTCATGAAAAATCTAGTCCACCCCACGATTAGTCACAATCCCAAAGGCTTTTCTGTGCTGCTTGAACTGGCATTGTAGGTAACCAGGAGACCTTATACTCACAAGATTTCCCTGCAGAGGGTGCACTCGTTGGGGTAGGTCTTGCCATCAGTTCCACAGACGGGGCTGTAGTCGCGGGGACAGGCGACCTGCAGCTGTGGGGTTTTCCCGGATGTCAGGAACATGCCACAGGAGGCCTGTGGGAAAGGACTTGTGATGTTTCCAAGTGGACAGAAGAGCATGCTTGTGTTAATCCTGGTTTCATTGCCTTGGGAGACTACTGCTGGTCATTTTTTGTTCTCTATTTTTCTTCCATGGCAAAGGAGAGAGGGAATAAAATATGCCATGTTTCCTACAGCAATCAAAAGCACCTTTTTGCCATCAGGACTTTCAGTACCTTTAGCAAGAATTGTGGGCAAAAATTATCATTCCTTGGGGAATCAGGACAGGGAAGATACTTAGGCAGTTATTCAATAGTTGTATAGATTTTCTCCTGGCCCTCTGTGCTGTGCTGACTCTCATTCTACATTCGCTGTCTTTTTTATCATCAACATGGTAAGTTATCATCCTTCTCTGACATGGGTATTTTCTTATTTTGGGAAAAGGAGGTGGTAGAATACTTAGTGGCATTTTTCCTTCTTCCTTTCTTGCTCTCTCTGCTTTTTTTCCTCCCTCGAGCCTTCCCTGGGATAGTGTGAGTATGAATTATTCATCTCGACTTAGAAATCCAGTCTAAATGACAAAGATCTACTACTCACCCGTCTCTGAGCAACAGCAATATCTACAAAAAAAACACAGATTATAAAATTTAAAAAAAAAAAAGTACAACATCCTTGAATAAAACTCCTTTGGAATCACAATTTCCTAACAGAATGACTAAATACACTTTCTCATTACTGACAAGTGATAGTTTTCCCCAATTTTTAATCTACTCCAAGTAAGCAAGTAGTTATATGCTAAGATTAAAGAAACCAATGATTTGTGAAACCAGAAATTTTGACTCACTAAAGAAGAAATAGGACATAAACTTTTCTCATTTTGCAGAACTATTATCCTCACCAGGGCTCATAAGTTTAAATCAGACAAATGCATCCTACCAATCTATAACATTTATCTGCACAAGGATAAAGCTCATTAAAAGGGAGCTCAAGTATTCCTAAATCATCACATATCCAAAAGGCTGAACTATATGAAGTTATATAGTTGCTATATAATATATAAAGGCAAAGGTTCAGAAGGACAAGAGGTAATAGCACAGACTGTAATGAAAGCAACTTACCAGCAAGGCAGCTGAGAAGCATAAGCCCAAGAAGGGCAAAGCTTCCTGTGGTCTTCATAGTGGAGATGATTGTAGAGCCTGTTGCTTGCAAAGCTGCTGCTGGGGAGGTTGGTAGATGGTTCTCAGCCTTCTCTCTCTGCTCTATATATATACATCTCTCCGACCACGTGAAGTCATGTCATGAAGTAATTATTTGCTCTGTAAACTAGGAAAACTGTATTGATTATTGAGCTGAGCCAAAATACTTGTTTGTTGGAGAGATGTCCAGAAGAACTAAAGAAATATTTGAGCTACACCCAGCTTGTTAACAAAGGAGCCCTGCTGTACAATGAGCGATTTGTACTTTCCAAACAAGAGCACTGTCTCAACAGTAGACATTGTGAAATTATGTATGGAAGTTGGTAAAGGGAAAAAAAAAGCCCAAACCATTTATTGAAAGCTTTGGAACTTGTGCACTCCATATTACATACTCTGGATGGTATTGGGGCTCCAGGTGACATGCATGGTACACCAGAGTGAGGGAACAACAGCATGGGAGACTTCAAGCTTTTACAGACAAAAATCTAGGGTTTGGCAGGCATCAGTGTACCTTAAAGATGCTCAGATCTCAATGAATCTCTCCACACTCTCTCCTGTAGTTTCTTCGTGCACCGGATCTCTCACTGACAGGAGAGAAACAGTTATCACAACAGGAAAGCATTACCATGAAGATGATCAGAGGGCTAGAGCACCTCTCCTAGGAAGACAGGCTGAGAGAGTTGGGGTTTTTCAGCCTGGAGAAGAGAAGGCTCTGGGGTCATCTTAGAAGTACCTGAAAAGCCTACATGAAAGCAGGGGAGGGACTTTTTACAAGGGTCTGTAGTAATAGGATGAGGGGGAAAGATTTAAGCTGAAACAGGGTAGACTTAGATTAAATATTAAGAAGAAATTGTTCACTATGAGGGTGGTAAGACACTGGAACATGTTACTCATGGAAGCCTTGGGTGCCCCATTCCTGGAAACGTTCAAGGCCAGGTTGGATAGGCCTTGGAGCAATCTGGTCTAGTGGAAGGTGTCCCTGACCATGGCAAGAGGGTTTGGAACTAGATCATTTTAAGGTTCCTTCCAACCCAAACCATTCTGTGATTCTATGATTCAGAAGTTTATAAGACATTTCTATGTAAGAGCAAGAGTTATTCATCTATCAGCAACTGGCATAAATCTGATTAAGAAATTATGAGGATGAGTAGCCTTGAATCTGGACTGGGATAATGTTTCTTCTTACTGGCAAGCAAGTTGTGTTCTGTGCAGGTGAAATGGGTTTCATAATACCAAAGACATTCAAAAAAGTTTGCAGCAGCTGCAAACGGAAGTCTCCTCTTTTACCCCCTCTATTATATGGCATTAAATTTAGAGTGTCAGCTGAAAGTCATGTTTTAGGGAACATAAGCGAAAAATAATTTGCTAGGATCTGTTAAGTGGTTCAACTCTATCGCAAATGGAAAAACAAATAAGGAATATTGCATAAAAATAATACATTTTTGATTTAAGGTAGTCACGGAAGAAAGTGAGGGACAGAACTTGTTTCTGCTTTAGAAGAACCTTGATTCATACATGTGGCTTAAAGGCAGCAGGAGTTTTAAATAGAAAATCATAATTGTTTTCCTTATTATCCTGGGAGATGTTCAAGCCTTGGCATGGGCAGATAAATCATAAAAATGTAGCTGAAAGTGTAAGGGTAGTCACAGAATAGAGCCTGCAGGATTTGGCCTGTTCGTATCAATGAAATCATTTGCCTGAAAAATAAATGAGTAATGCTGTTTGGATCTCATTCACAAATACCAGACATTGAAGGGTTCCTTTGAAAGCTGTTTCTGTTGCGTTCTTAGCATCCTGAGTGACTTACCTTTCATATTCCTTAAACTGATTGTGAGCTTGTTTGGAAGGGAAGTCACAGAAGCATTAATATTGATTATTCTCCGGGGGAAGGAATGCCAAAGATTGAAAACAAGGTTTCTTCAGAGCTTGCACCAGCTGCTGGTGGACATGGCACTTACTGACTCTTTCATGGTTCATGAGGCTACAGGAATGTGGTCTGTCTCCTCTTCAGCCCTGCAATCCAATCTTCTCTGTATCCACCTCCAGATCTGAGGTCCCCAGTTACCACAAACTGCTGCTTCTCCAGCTGCCTCTCCTGCCAGGCTGAAAGCACCCAGGCCGCTCAGGAGCTGTTGTGCATGGCAGGGTGTCTGCTTGGGAGAGGCATCACTTTCATGTTTGGCCAACACTTGCCCTTTAATTAAGCAGATCCGCTGGTGAGATCCTCCTCTGATCCACATGCTGCTTCTGAGGGCCTGGGTAGCCAGCCAGGGCTGCTCCAAAAGCAGCTCTTTTCCTCCTCCGTTTCCATCCCTGCCACTTCACAGGGCAGCAAAGAGAAAAAGAGAAGCTAGGAAAGAGTCTTGCTGCAGGGTCTTTAATAAAGGGTGGGAGATAATTAGTAGCAGTCAGGGCAGGGCAGTGAGAGCTGCTGGGTGAGGTGTGACCTGGGGTTGCACGAGGAGCTCCGTTAATGAGAACCAGAGGGAATAGGGCAGAAGTAATTGCAGGGCAGCAGATGGTTGAAAACAGGCATTAGGAGCAATCAAAAACAACTGTCTCCATGGATTTGGAAGAGTGAGCTGTGGGAAATGCCATACACTTGTTGCAAATGGGAAAGGTAAAGTGATTCACCTGTCAAAACCCCTCTCTGATATTCAAGAGTCTCATCATGGTGCACTCAGTGAAGTGACTTTGGGCATGGGATTATTTTAATGTTTCTACAGATTTGAGAGCCATAGAAAAATTAAAATAAAACTCTTCCTGCTATAAGTTCTTAGAGGGCAAACACTCAAAAAGATTAAGGCCACATAAATAGTGTAAACACTGGTTGTCATGTGATGGATCCTCTTCTATTAAGGTAAATTTCCATAACTCTGGAAATTCTACTCAGTTTCTATTTCAGCACTTTCTTCCCAGTGCAGTGACACTTTCCTGGGAATCTTTTTCTCTGGCCTTGAGACTCCCTATTTCAAGCAAGCTTGTGGTCTACCATGACAAAAAAAGCCTTCATTTATCTTTCCTGCTTTACTTTAAAACATGTCACAGGCTTCACCTGGCTACAAACAGAAATAATACCTCTTAAATTTTTGGACCCCCCCCAGGTGGATGTGTGCATGCAAGACCAGATGCTGTTATTCCAGCAGTGGCATCACTGCCCTTGCTCCCATATCCTGCTGTCACACCCCCCACTGTAATCAAGAAGAAAATGTCACCATGGTTTATGCTACTACAGAGACAAATGCAATGTGCATTTCTTTCCCATTGACCAGCCATGTGTCACATTGCAAGAGCTCCCAAAATAGGTTGCTGTTCCCAGACCTCTGCACATGGGGGCAGAACTGGATCTTCTATGAGAACGTGGATTCAATGCACAGCAAGCAAAGCCCCTTCTCTAAGCCGCATTCATCTAATATTTCTCCTTGTAGTTCAGCTATCTGATTGCTGCCTGCATATCTCCAGTCCTTTATGCATAGATGATATCACAGGCAAGAGTGTCTGAAATAATTTGACTGTCTGGGAGCTGCATACTAACAGCAAAAGGATGAGGATCTGGCCCCTCAGCTCCAAATCCCTCGGTGAATCTCAGCTCTGCCTTGCTGCAGCAGCTCTGACACAGCCAGCCCCCAAAAACAACATCTCCAAATAATTTTCTTTTAAAATATCATTTTATTTTTCTCCTCATCAGTGGTAACAAAACGTTTATCCTGAATGAAACCTCAGAGAGAAGCTGCATTAGCAGAAAGGTCTCAATTGGCCTGAGGTACATTTTGGGCAGTGCCAAGTAGAACAATACACCAAAACAGAAGCATTGATATAAAATAGAGCAGAACAAAAGAACTACATGCGATGTGTTAATCAGATTTGGGGGTAATTGAATGGCATTTCCTAAATTCACAAACATCAGATAACAACATAAAGTGCCAAGGTGCTGCTTAACAAATTGTATCATAAAATACCTCAGGGGGCAGACATCATTTTCTGCCTTGAAATTCCTGGAGGGAGAGTTAGAGTAATAATGGAGAGAGGATTTTTTGTTGTTGTGGAAGAATTTTATTGAGCAGCAACAACAACAAATTATTTCCAACTAAGTCCACATAAAAGCATGTGGCCTTTATTTCCATCCTAAGAAGTTGCCCCCTTGGGGTAGGGGGATGGGGGTGCCACTGGGGTCCTGCTCTGCCCTCAGTTCCTCCTGAGTAATACTGCATAAGTCTGCACTGGGGTGGAGGATTCTGAACTGACAGTTCCCCCTCAATTGCCTAGTGGATCTTCCAGTTTAGTGGACAATGCTCCTGGAAGATGAACTGAGGACCACTTGAGCGAGATGAGGAGATCTTTTTGTCTCCAGGCTTGGCTCTGTTTGGCTGCTGGGGGCCATCCTCCTCCCCTCTGCCTCGCCAGGAAATAAGACAAGTGTTGGAGTTGGCTTGTACCTGGAGGGATTTAAAAAACCTGTAGATGTGGTGCTTAGGGACACAGGTTTATGGTGGACTTGGCAGTGCTGGGTTAATGGCTGAACCTGATGATCTTAAAGGTCTTTTCCAACCAAAATAATTCTATTCTCTTGCCTCCAATTCCCTTGCTCAGTGAAAGGGGACAAGGAGAGTGAAGCCCCTGAGCCACACACTCCAGCAGTACCTCCCAGAGCCTAAATTTGTCTTGGTCCTGGGAAATCACATCTGACACTGAAATAAGTTCTTGCACACATGCCTCCCTGTCACAGGAGGGACATTCCAGGCTTTGGAAGGGACTTAGCACTAACTGGTTGCAGAGAGTCATGTATTTTAGATATAAATTGTCTACCTTTGAAGGGCTGCTCTCTCCAGTCTCTGCAAAGTGTCACATTGTTGCTTAAGATCATTAACTATTTGACTCTGAGACTGCTGCCTGCACAGCATGCCACATTGCCAGCACTTCACTCTTAATGAATAATAAATTAACACTATGACTCTGAGCCCTTCCTTTCATCAGCCAAGATGTCCAGAGGCCGAAGAATCGCAAAGGATCCTCCACAAGCAACCAGTTGGTGTAATTACCTACAAGCAGCTAAGTGGTGGGTGAGGTGCAGAAACAGGCTGTGGCAAGGACTGCTAGCAGTCCTCCCAACACCAGGTCTGTTGTGACTGACTGCCCACTGGTTTTCTGCAACAACCCCCAGTGATGAATGTTGCAAAAACAAACGTGGGCAGCCAGGTATCTGCCTGCCCAGAGAAAACATCACATCATGTTGCTTTGGGAAGCAGAGTGGATTGGAAATAGGTTTCTTTCACCTAACGGTGGGTTTCCAGTCCTTCTTGCAAGGTGAAGAGTTGCAACTGGGAAACTTCCCTTCTTCACCACTTCTCTTGTGGGCATAAGAAATTTGGGCTAACCCTAGAAGCTAAACCTCAGCAGCCCGCAGTGCCAGCAACACCCTCTGCACCACTGTGGCTTTTGCAAAACAGCCACAAAACACCCCCTATGGAAGCAACCTCAGGCCTGTCTCAAATTATGTGTATGTTGAGGTTTTCTTGCAGCCTCTCCATGCTGCCAAAAACTCCATGGAGTAACACGGGTGAGGCAGCAGGTACTTGACAGCAGAGGTTAGGGGGGCAGGCAGCTCCTCTCACCCAAGCAGAGTGTTTGTGCAAGGTGCCCTTAGAGGAATAAATCGATGGGAGCATTGCACCAGGATGCATCTCCAGACCTTGTTTTCCTTTGGAGGCAGGTGCCCTAAAGATCTATGCATTGTTTTCATGGTTAGGGTTGGTTTATCTGTAGATCAGAACAATGTATTCCCTCTCCCTGTAATTTGCCCATTAATACTTGCACCCCAGAATTTTTGCAGTGACGTAACCATGCAACGTCTTAGGTAAAACATGAACAAGACATATCATTAAAACAAGACATAAATGCTGATGGCTTTTTTTATTAAGCAGAGGTTACAAGATGCATCAGGGGCTCTCAAGCTTCAGGACAAGGCTTTGGGGGAGCGTTTGTCATGGGGAGCATCACCAGGACAGACTGAAGGCTGAATGAGAAGTTAACACGCTGAAAGAGATCTCAGGCGAAGAGTCCGACGGCTTCTCCTGCAGAGAAAGAAAACAGTTCCTGAGAGGCAGAACATCTGGACTTCTACTGTGTGCCTGTCTGTCCCTCTGGTGAAGGATAGATCATAGAGGAACTTAACCAAAACAGAAAACTTCTGAACAGTGTTTCAGATGTTTCCTTTTATTACTGACATCCAAAGACAAGATAAAGGCTTGATTTAAAGGAAGAACAAATAGTCTGTAGGAAACAAATAGTCTGTAGAGCTTACTGGGCAGAAGAAAGTTCTCAGCAATTACATAACAGGGAAATAAAGAACTCTACTAATTATTACCTATTTATACCCGAAAGAAATTCCTGGCAAGTTATCCCAATAAAAAACTGACTCATGCTAGCAACAGAACAGGTAAACATACAAATAAAAAAATTCACTTCTACAACCAGTTTCCAAGAGTGATTAGTTTAACCTGAGTTAGTTCACCATTGAATTAGTGAAGAGAATTATTTTCATACGTACAGGAACGCGTTGCAGAACATGCATTTGTTGGAATATGTTACCCCATCGGAGCCACAGTGGGGGTTGTACTCCATGGTACACATGGGTCTGGGGACCAAGAAGCCACGGCAGTATTCCTGCAGGAAGATGCAATGTAGGTTCACAAAAAAATAGAAAGATGACATTAGGAGATGCACCCCCCTCTCCCCTGCCTCCACCCTGAGCACCAACCCCAGCAGTGGCCAGAAGCAGCTGCTGAGAAACAGCTGAGGGACAGGGCAGGGTGATACGTTGCTTCCAGTGATGTAGAGCCTGTGCAACCAGCATAAATGCTGCTGCAGTCACTTTGACAATAACTTGGACATGAACTGAGTACTGCACTACTGGTTGAAACCATCATCAGATATAATCAGTGATTTCACCCAAAACCTCTGCAGCAAGGATTGCTCAGGCAGCTGGAAGACTCAGGATTTTCAAATGTTCAATCACAATGTGATTAGTAAGGATTTCTGTGGAAAATGCTTTAAGGGAAGAAATGATGTAAACATAGAAAGATCTGTCCCTTACCTGCTGTGCAACAGTAGCTGGAAAAAAAAGAAAAAAGAAGGTTATATGATAAAAATGCAATTCATGGGTTTTGTTAGAGTTAAAAAAACTGTGAATGCATGCCCTGAATACACAACTTTCAATTCAATATTTGTTAGCAAATGACTTCTTGGACAACAAGAATTTCGGGTAAAATTTTGTGCCATTTTGTACCATTGCAACAGCAATTCTATAGTATGATTTTTATTTTTTTTTTAAGTGAGGGCTACAGTCAACATGGAGGAGGGTGTGCAAAACGAAAGTAGACAAATGGATTTTGCATGGTTCAAGTACAGAGCAGGACATATACTCAAAACTAAGCAAGTTATTGATGCAAACAGGGTCATAAAGGTGGCAAAGTACACAGAAGCAGTGCCTTGTATGCATTGCCACAATAGCTCTTAAATAAGAAGAGTATTCAGTGAGATGCAACTTTTATAAAACGTCTACAACTCTTCAGGCTCTCAAATTGCATCTCACTTCAGGATGACTACAAGAAATGTTTGCTTTCATTCAGTAAAATAATTTGTGTCTCTACAATATTTCAGAGGTGAAATACTGGATGTCTGAGTCTCTGGGTTGCACCACGTACATGTCACTTCTTTCATTATGCATAAACTAGCGCTGAGAGTGGAGCTGTTCCCACAGTTGTTCTTACCCACTCAGTTCTGTTGCTAAAATATTACCCCATAAGTGATAGTCTTTGATGTCAAGTCTTTTCAACACTATCTTTCTAGGAGTAAATAAGTCCTTGTAGAATGAAGCTCTTTCCAGTCAGAAGATGCTTTTGTGGTTTTAAAGACAGCCAGAGCTTATAGAAAGGCAGAGCAGGAGGCAGGAAAGCTACTCACCTGTGATGCAGCAAAGGGCTAGAGCAAAGAGCAGAAACACACCGGCTGCTCTCATGGTGGCTGAAGTGTCTGCGTGGAGCAAAGTCTGTGTTTTGCTCAAGAAACGTAGCTTTAATTCTGCCCTCAGGTGGCAACCATGCTTATATGTAGGTGCGTATGTTTGCATGTCTGTGCATGTTTGTGCACGTTCCCATTTGGCTTAGCCACCTTTTTTCCGAAGAAACAGGCTAAACTAGAAACTTAGATATGCTAGATACACTCTGCTTGTTGTCATTTCAAGTGAATTATGTGACAGATTCCTTCTGAAAGATCACAGAGAATTCCTGCAGGCTACAGGCAACCACAAAAACCTAAGCAGTGACCACTGTGTGGTTTTCTCTGTGGGCACCCATCAGTGCTTATTCACACCCAGTGCTTTTCCGTGGGAAAAATGTTGAATGAATGCCTTCCAGAGTGGAAAGTTTCTACTTTTATTTTCATGCTTCATCCCAGGAAACATTAAGTTATAGTGAAACCAGCAAAACAGCAAACTGGGAAGGCAAGCAAGAGGTTTTCCCAGATACTGAAGGGAGACCTTGGACCAGGCAAATGATGGAGCAACATTCATGGGCATATGCAAAGGATTTACAATTGTTATTTCCCCTAAAAGCCATTAGCATTGTGGGTTACATTTGTGGTAATGGAGTGATAGTCTGTTGATGACAGAATTATGTGAGACCCTAGCCTGGATCCCAGGAAAACTGAACCCAATCTGGAAATCACTGTTTCATCCATCTGCCCATCTCAGTAGAAATCCTTTGTTTTCCCACCAAAGAATCACCTCTTGGATGACCTCATTCCATCAAGGAAAACAAGCACTCTCCTCCCTTTGGCTCCCAGGAGAACTGCATATGGGTGATGCTAATTTTTAGAAGGGATATGCCCAATTTATTTATGTTTCTCTTGCGTGGATCAAACACCCACCAATTCAATACTCCAGCAGGGGACAAAAGCAAAATAAATTTAACGAGCAATACACCAATGACAGGTCACATTCTCAAAAAACAGAAGGATACTTTGTCCTTGGATTGTGAAACACTGGGCTGGCAAAGAGTATTTTGTTATTAAAGAGAGAGGACAAGTAGGCTGGAGTAAAAAGCATCCCTAGGAGGGCATTTATCTCAAAACACTTGTAGGTTGTTAAAGGATGAGTTCAAGATGAGGGAAACCTGTGATTGTCTTTTGGAAGACCCGGGAAACTGAGCAGGGCCCACTCAGGTATCTCAAAAACAGGGCCAGGGATCAGCTGTTGGTGTCCATACCACCAGTCTGAACTGGTTTTGCTGAAGATGCCTGCACAGGGAAAGCCCACTAGAAATACCTGGGGAGAGATCAGCTAGGGTCATAACTTCAGAGTAGTATTTCAGTGGTATTTGCAATCTCAAATGTCCAAAAGGGTCTGAACACTAATGTAGACTGACTGTCATTCACGTGCAAAGCCACACAGCTCTGAGGTTTATGCATCTGTGTTTAATTTTCTGCCTTTTATGATAGGAAGGGGAGCAAGATGTTGTTCCTGTTATATCCCAGAGCTATGTGCACATAACCTATTCATCGTGGCATCATCCTTCAACAAATCAGAGGAAAATGTTTCATGAGACAGCACATGAAACAAGAAAAAGAAATATTGCTGATTTAGTTTATTGAGAAAGAAAATCAGGAGTGAGCTGAGCTCCCCAGAGGGCGAGATGAACTGAGGTGAGATCTTTAGCTGGGATTTGCCAGTGGGGATCCTGTGGTGAATTCTCTCAGCACTGATACTCAGCAATTTCCAAAATGTCTTAAAGTGAGAGTCCCATTGCTGTCCCTGAAAGTGAGGAGAGGAAAAAATTGATTAGACAGAGTCCTGCTTGCTATAATCTGTCCTTTAATTGGCTCCTAGAGAAGACATCAGATAGGATCCTGCCCAGAGCAAAAGAACTTGCAGACTCATACTCCCATTAACTATTTGATCACTGAGAAATGAGTGAAATGATTTAACTCATTCTCTAGACTGAAATATTTTTGGAAACCATAATGAAACTTCAATTTTGCTTTAAAAATCCCTTCAGTTTAGTGGTCTTCAAACCATTCACACTAACAAAGCAGACTTAGCTCTTTGTATGCTCTAAGGAGAAAAAAAAAAAAAAGGAATGGTTGGCATGATGTCTGGTATTCTCTTCTGCTCCAAATGCCTAATTAACACTGGTCAGCAAATAAGAAAGTGGCAACTGTGCAAACTTGTGCCCATAGGATAACACAAATGTGGTCCATGTTTGTACATACACGACTGCATTGCAGAAGTTACACCTATTGTCATATGTTGTGCTGTCGGAGCCACAGAGGGGCATGTACTCAAGTGGGCAGACAGGTTTAGGGTAGTCACTGCAGTCAACCTGCAAAAAAACAAACAAAAACCAAATAACTAATGTGGAGGATACGAAGGAGTCAATAGCAGAAGGGCCTGAACCCCTAGCTACAGTGTCAGTGCTAACTATAACGATCTAACTAAAAGTAATTAAGTTCCTTGCACAATCTGATATAAACCGAGGTGTCAGTTTCTACTATGCCAGAAGAATTTAATAATATAAAAATAGATCATAATTTCCTGTTTCAAGAGATGCATATCATAAGCTGGCCACAGCATTTCTCAGCAGCAGCAGTTCCCTCAGTGAGCGTGCCGTGCTCATGATTGCACCACGTTCCCAATCTGGCCAGGAAATTAAATGGAAAAACACTGATGTCTGGAGAAGTGCATGTGCTGATGCCTGTATAAGGGTCCAGTGTCTCTCTTATAGTCTTAAAACAAAAAGATCAGCACTTAGCTAATCCTGTGAGAGTGGGATTCTGTTTCATTTTTCAATAGGAGCTACACCTGCTGAGAGGCACCGTAGTGCAAAAAATGCGTATGGGTCCAGAAAAAGGCTGAAGAATTTTATGAAGGAGAAATTCAGCAAGGCTTACTCACTAACAGAGACTGCACCCGACTGAGGTCCATTATCTCAAAACAGATAGAGGCTGGAAGAGTAGGAGGAATGCCATAGATACTCCACTCTTACTGTACAGTCCTTACCACAAGAGCAAGCTCTGCATCAAGCCATCATGGGCTTGATGGACCATTGGTCTGACTCCAAAAGCTATTCTCTGTTCTCACTCTCAGTTCTGCCCTGATGGATTATTTCTGCTACTACTCTTTTGCTGATCACTTCCTGTGCAGTCACCATCTTCCTTTTCTGACTTCAGGACAGATAATGCACATTACATGTGGAGAAAGCAAAATCTTCTCTGTGCTGACACACAGCAGCAGTTCCATTCCGGTGGGATGCTGTTGGTCTGGGGGCTGCTGCAGACACTGGTCATGCTACCCCTGACATCAGTGGGTCTGAGACCCCCTCCCTCATCCCACAGTTCACTTACTGCAACAATTTCCTTCTTACATTCACCATCGAACCTCTTGCCAACACTGGCCTCAGACTCTCTGGAAAGGGAAGAAACCCATGTTAGGGAGCTCTGGGAGCAACCTGCTCTGCTGAGCCCCACACCCCAGCAATGCTGACCAGCCCCAGATACAGTGCCCAGGCTACAGGAAACGTCCAGCTTAGTTTGTCTGCACGTAGCTCTAGATACCAGCTCAGGTGGTATCACAGCCTGCTGGAGTGCTCTTGTAGAGCATGATGTGAAGGACAAGGGAAGGTCCTGGATGCTAGAGTGGATGAGGAGCTAGGTTGTGGGACAATATAAATACACCTTGGGTTAGGTTAGCTGCTGTCCTCTGCAAGGCAGCATCTGCTACATAGACCCTTTTCACTTAGTTAAGAGAATCATTCTGTCCTATGTTAGATCCCCATCCAAACCTTTGATCTCTCTGTAGACCAAAGGCACAGTTTTCCTTCTAACCACAAAGGAAAACAGGATCTAATTACCAGGGAAAG